ACAGGGTGGACATAGAGTGACCACAGGTGGTCATTGGTCACTACAGGTGGTCACTGGTCACAATGGGATGGACACAGAGTGACCACAGATGGTCAGTGGTCACTACAGGTGGTCACTGGTCACTATACAGGTGGTCAGTGGTCACTATCGACAGTCATTGGTCACCAAAGGATGGATACAAATTGACCACAGGTGGTCAATGGTCACTACAGGTGGTCAGTGCTCATCATAGGATGGACATAAAGTGACCACAAGTGCTCACTGGTCACCAAAACACGGATATAGAGTGACCACAGGCGGTCACCGGTCACCAAAACACGGACATAGAGTGACCACAGGTGACCATTGGTCATCGTGAAGTGGCCACAGATGACCACAGGTGGTCATTCCTCACCACTGGTCATCAAGACATGATCATAAATGACCCCAAGCGACCACTGGTCACCACAAATGACCACAACCAACCCTCCCAAGACCACAGCCACCGCGACCGAGCCCGGATGACCACGACTGCCCGCCGGCGATGACCGCCCGATGACCGCGGCGGCTCAGCTGATGTAGACGCGGTGGAAGTCGTGCGCGCCGAAGGCGGCGTTGCACTTGGGGCACTTGCGCTGCCGCGTGTCGTAGCGGCTCTTGACGCACTCGAAGCAGAAGACGTGGAAGCACTTGGTCAGCACCGCGTCCTTCTTGCGCGCGTTGCAGCACGGGCACGTCAGCCGGGCCTGGCCGGAGGGACCGAGCGGCGTTAGGGGGTCGTTAAAGGTCGTTAAAGGTCAATAATGGGTGTTGGAGATCGTTAAAGGCCAACAATGCTCATTAAAGGTCATTAAAGGTCAACAATGGTCATTAACGATCAACTGACGTCATTGAAGGTCAACAACGGTCATTAAAGGTCAACTGAGGTCATTGAAAGTCATTAAAGGTCAACAAAGGTCAATAAAGACAACTGATGGTCAGCTGAGGTCATTGAAAGTCATTAAAGGTCAACAATGGCCATTAATGCTCAACTGAACTCATTAAAGGTCATTAAAGGTCAACAATGGTCATTAATGGTCAACTGAAGTCATTAAAGAGTCAACAGTAATCACTAAAGGTCAGCAAAAATCATTGAAGGTCAACTGAAGTCATTAAAGATCATTGAAGGTCAATAAAGATAATTGATGGTCAGCTGAGGTCATTAAAGGTCAACAATGGTCGTTAATGGTCAACTGAAGTCATTAAAGGTCATTAAAGGTCAACAACGATCATTAACGGTCAACCGAAGTCATTGAAGGTCATTAAAGGTCAACAATGGTTGTTAATGGTCAATTGAAGTAATTAAAGATTGTTAATGGCCAACAGTGGTCATTAAAGGTCAACTAAAGTCATTAAAGATCATTAGAGGTCAATAAAGATAATTGATGGTCAGCTGAGATCATTAAAAGTCAACAATGATCATTAATGGTCAAATGAAATAAATAAAAGTCATTAAAGCTCAACAATGGTCATTAAAGGTCATTAAAGGTCAACAACGGTCATTAAAGGTCAACTGAAGTCATTGAAAGTCATTAAAGGTCAACAATGGTCAATAAAGACAACTGATGGTCAGCTGAGGTCATTAAAGGTCATTAAAGGTCAACAATGGTCATTAAAGGTCAACTGAAGTCATTAAAGATCATTGAAGGTCAATAAAGATAACTGATGGTCAGCTGAGGTCATTAAAGGTCAACAATGGTTGTTAATGGTCAACTGAAGTCATTAAAGGTCATTAAAGGTCAACAACGGTTGTTAATGGTCAATTGAAATAATTAAAGATTGTTAATGGCCAACAGCAGTCATTAAAGGTCAACTAAAGTCATTAAAGGTCATTAGAGATCAATAAAGATAATTGATGGTCAGCTGAGGTCATTGAAGGTCAACAATGGTTGTCAAAAGTCAACTAAAGTCATTAAAAGTCATTAAAGGTCAACAAAGGTCATTAAAGGTCAACAAAGATAATTAAAGGTC